GAATGTAGTCACAAAAATAAGCAATTGTGTCTAAAACAACACGAGACACCTTTGAAATCCGTTCTATCTTGCCGATGAAACTGAAACCAAAACTTCGATAGACAAAGTTGTCAAATGGAGTGAGTGGCGTTATATCAAACATCAAGCTACCTCGTTTCTAGGCTCTGAAGATTGCACTTGCCATGACAACACACGTCGCCAACGGATGTTGATAATTTATGCATAACTAACGCCACTGCAATCGTTCTAATAAACAGTTCATTTGGGGTACGTTTCCTGGAATTTGTCGGTTGCACGCGACATCGGTGCTTCGGTTTTGGTTCCGCCTGTAAATTGGTTAGAATTCGATAACTCTAAAAAATTACTGGTGACTCCCAGTTTACTTAATTACTTCTCTTTTCTAACTTCAGCTTTAATTATTTCAACTTTCTTATATATATTCTTTGGTAATCTGCCGACACACACACAAACACATATATGAAAGAGACGAGCAAATGTCGCATTCCCCTTGATCTGGAGTATCTGCAGGCACATTTCTTAAAACGCCCAATATATACTACAACCATTTTATACCGCAATAGTGCGCCAGCAAGCTCGATATGCAAAGCATACCTCGACAACAGATTGATCTGAAAGCGTGCAGCTGACAATGGGTGCATGAAATAATTTGTTTCATAAACAAGAAGAGGCATTTATTCGTCGGTGTAACCTAAAAGCGGTTTTCCATCTCATTTTTTTTTTATCGTAGAACTGCAAACCAACGCGCGCAGCGCGCGTATTCTATTGTGGTCTATGGCGGTTCTACCCTGTTTTTTTCTCTAGCAATATGGCCGCCTGCGGCTTCACTTTCTCCCTTTGGCGGTGGCCGGGACTGCCACTCCAGAGGTTCTATAGAACCTCCTTGGGCGCAAGCCAGTTTGTTTACAAGCACCAAAGCCGTCTATATAGGAGCGCGCAGCTCGTCAGTTGACAGGAAAAGTCCAAGTAGGAGCACTGCCATAAAATCGCAAAAGCTTCGACAGTGAGGATATTTTGAAGCCAACAATGTTAAAATTGAAAAATACGAAAAAGAAGTTTGGGGAGAATGAACACGTGAGCAGGAGCACTAAGCTGGGTTAAGCTCGCAAAGTCAGAAATTCGAAGTTTTTTTTTTTTTTAACAAATATGGTGTCCCGAACAGTTAAGGGAAGGCCAAACGAGATACGTGTAATAGGAAGTTGATAACTGATAGGTGAACAGGTGGCATTCCATAACGATAAGAAAGTGCAACAGAACTACACTTAGAGAAAGCGCATCAGCCGAGCATGCAATGACTAAATTCGGTTCGAATGCCGATGTTGGGTCATTCTCAATCCCATAATAAATTTTCTCAAGACGCATCATGAAGGAATCTTTAAAGAAAAGAAAAAGGCCTGGTTGTGGTCCAACTGAAGACTGCCTGCCGGTAATTCACTCCCTCACCAGAGCAGGATTGGCCACCCTGGAGCAGTACTTGTCCACTACCTCATACTGCTATCATATATTCCTTGCTCACCGCACCTGTATAATATTGTTTGTGAAATGAATATAATTTGTTAAACATAACGATTGTCTCACCTTTGAATAAAATTCGGTATTTCACTGTTCTCTCCAAACAGAGTTGCACTGCAATCGCAGCTCTCATAACCTAATTCCCGTGCTATTGTCACTAAAAACAGATTCGAAAGCAATTTTCGCCCAGAATTTTCGTGACTTCTTCGGATAGACCTTGGCCACTGCGGCTCGGTCACGCACCCTCGCACCACTTGCTCTTTCTCGCACACAGCGCGATAAGATTTCACTGAAAAAAGATGGGAAAGGGTTTCGACTGTGTTATGAGACTGTGAGGCCCTCACAACTGTTTACATTGGGGAAGGATACTACGATATTTTCGAACTGTCAGCAGTTTGAAAGTGTACCTCAGTTTTCAATCATGCAAAACTAACTGGCCCAATACCTCACGTTGCTCAGCAGGTGTGTTCTACTGCTGCATAGAAGAGGAATGGCGATTCTAGATGGCCTCCAAAGAGAGACGTACCCAAAACGTTTTTTTTTTTTTCTCTGGGGTGGGGGGGTCGATTTTTCTTTGTGTGTGTTAATTCGTGCATTTCTATGTGTGCCTGCATATACACGCAATCAAACTTGCAAAAAAAAATTGGCGTGGAAAAAATTGGCGTTCCCTTCCTGGGTACGCCACTGCTTCAAAATACGTCTGAATCGCACCTATCATTTTCCGAAAACTCCAATGAGCTTGTGCGTGGAGCATGCTCAGTCGCAGATCTGGTATGGCCATGACTGTGGTGATGTGATTAGCTTTCCGCTTAGCGTCTGGTTCTCGTTGCTTTCCATGACGCTTTCGCGCTTTTCATACTCCGCGCCAGTGGCACCAGATTGCCGCCGTGCATGGCATAGAGCCAACGTTTCTAGACTAGGTAAGTTGCAAAACTGAGTGATGTTGCGCAGCGCCGCCGGTGCCAGCGACAAATGTGGCGCTGCTGTCGCATCCGGATTCACTTACTGCATGCTCGCTCACAGAACACCTAGCTCGCTCGTGTCACTCCCGTAACCTCCATCGCCTGTGCATGTTGCAGAGCGTCGATATCTGTGGAGGCTTCTTTCTGCGTGAACAGTTTTGTGCTTCAGCACGCCCTGTTTTGCTTTGTATGTGTTGCGTGTTTTCAGCATGCCCAGATGTTGCGTTCTCGGCTGTAGAGTAGCTACAGGAAATGAGACATCACGGCATTTCTTTTTTGCCCACGTGTACCTGAGCAGCGAGAGGTATGGAACCACGCTATTGCTCGTGCAGATAAGAATCTGCCCAGCACCTCACGTATGTGTGATATGAGAAGGTGATTCTTAAGAAAGAAAGGAAGAGAAAAGTGAGCCCCGTAACTACCTGCTTCAGTGAGCGACACCTCAACAGTAGCTCACAAGGGATGGGGGTGAGGAGGGATAAAAGGGGTAGGAGTAAAGGTGTAGAAAAGAGGAAGAGACGTGAGGTGATGAGCCAGAAGGAGCGACAACAAACTGAGAGGATAGGAGAGATAGGAAAGATGGAAACACGGTCACTGCAGGAGTGCGAGCACGGGGCACCACTTGCGAGAGCTCTTGTCGGCGTCAGTAGATGCACTTTCATGAGAAGGACATCCTGAAGGCTTTCACTCACGTCATATAGTAAGAAGGTACAAATCGCAAGAGGAAAGTGGGACCTTGTCGAAGGATGCGTTCCACGAATATTCCCGAATTCACCCGCTTACCTTGCCCACTTAGCTTTGTTGTGGGGCCCGCGACAAAGAAGTGAAAGCTGCCCGATAGGAGTGGGGTATTTTCCAGAATATCATCGGCGAAAAAGAATAGACTATCTCCGAGCACTGAGCTCGAAGACAGGGAAATAAGTCCCGCCATGCCGTCAACTAGTGGCGTCATATCGCTTCAAGACATAGAACACGTTTGTTTGCATGCTGGCGGAAAGTTGTTGAAAATGGCGCGACAAGACGTCTTGTGGTGTTTCTAGGGCTCAAAGAAAAAAGAGAGCGCTATTTGTGGACAAATGCGTTGTCGTCGCAGAAGACATGACAGTCACCATTAGCAGCCGTCACCATCGCTTAGCCAAGTCGCCTGGCAATGCAGATACCATCACCCAATCGGCCGAACTTCTGGAGGACATAGAAAATCTAAAAGTGTGTTCATGTTGTCCCAGTGCGTCAGCTGGCAGACTCGTGAGTAATGACTACGAAGTGCTCACCGATACCCCAAAGTGCGGTCTCTGTTCGAAGCTTTGGCTACAGCTGTGTTAACAGGTTTCATTAGAGGAAATCCAGAAGAAGCAGAGGGAAGACATGCTCAAGAAAATGGCCACACGCGTAGCTTCTCGACGGTCTAAGTTCCTAAAGAATGTGACTGACATGAAAAAAAAAAAAAGCTGACTACATAACCAGACAAAAGCCACGAGATTGCGTCACATAGTTGTAATTTATTTTCAAGCCCGAAAAACACAGCCACGAAAAGAGGATGCCAGACATTGTAATTGGGGTTTTCGCGTCTAAAAATATATTGCGAACGTACGCCAACTTGCAACTAACCGACAGACTCGTATGTTATGCTATATATATCAAGCATTGTTTATTGTGGGCAGTTCAGAAAACCATACTTATACTGTATTTGCCTTACACCACTAAATATTACGCAGTACTAAGTTTCTGCGGCAGCACAACAAATCTCGATAATATACTGTTGGCAGAGCTCTTTCAGAACGGCCGCCACGGCGTCTTGACACGACGACTACGCGTTTTCGTCTGCTAGCGGAAGCTTGCTGCGACGTCAGTGCCACCAAACCGGAAGCTGTTCCGGCACCGAGTAGTCAGTTTTGCAACTTACCTAAACTAGCTTATAATACACTTTTTGAATCAATACTAGAACTCACTTCTTCATAAAAAAAGTATACCTGATTATAGTAATTATGAACAACTTTTTGACATGGTTGCTTTATTGTGCCTCCTAGCCGATGCCCACTCAATATCTTCCTTGTGCCCACTCATACTAGGGTCTTACATAAAGGCCTCTGCGATTGCCAGTTCCATGTTATCATCATCAAAGTGTCGCCACTACTTTTTCCTTTCTTTCCTCCGTGACTTCCTCCAACATATTGACTCCCTCCCACAACCACCACATGTGACATAGTAGACGGAGAACAATTGACCACTCTAGAAGAAAGTGTTTTCAATTTAAAAGGAATTCTGGGAATCGCGCGCGAGTCTCATTTCTTATTTAAACGAAGGCTTGTTCAGGCGCACGTGTGGAACCGTGGCCCGTGTTTGACGTCCCATTTTCAGCACGAGCGTAAAACGAGTAAGTTCCACATTAAGCGGCATGGCATGCCGAAAGCGTTTCTTCCTCCTCGCCGTGTCGGCCTCTCAGCTGTCGGTGGGAGGTGCGTGCACGCGGAAGCGACGCCGCCCAAGAAGCGTATCTTTTTCTTTTTTTGTGTGTGTGGCGTTCGGGAAATGACGAAGAAGAAGTAGAAGTAGCGTGTCTCTTCGTCGCTATGGTGAACAGCTGAAGCCGTTGTACGAGTGCGGCTTATTTCGAGGAGCACTGGCGTGGGACGTCGGCGTCTAGGGAGGGAACCTCTCTTCGCGTCGGTCGCGCTCAGCGTCTAGGCCTACTCTCAAGCGTAGCGAAGCTCGTCACCACGGTGCAACTACGGAGCGAAATGAACGCGACGCGCGTGCGGTACGTGCTCTGCACCGTCTGGCAACGCCCGGATTTGAAAGTGGCCCCGTGAAACTGTGTCAGCAGTGGTAGTTCCGCCGCCTCCAACTGCAGGCCGTCAAGCGATCGCACGATGTTGCTGCGTAGTCGTTGCAGCGGTGTCAACTGCCGCTGCGAGACGGCGCATGCTCATCATCATGGTCGAAAAGCTCGGTGAGTGGACGTGTGTATGTCATAAGCAGTGTAACGAAAGAACCGCAAGCATGAAACGTTTTCGTGTAGCTAGTTTCGTTTCACTCAACCCACCATAACGGACCTAAACTCAATTTCATCACACCTGTCGTGGGAAAAGTTTACGAGCCAGTAGATTCGGTACAAGTCTACTACAGACCGACAGGTCCTGCGAAAATCGAAGCAGCTATACCTGTTCGTTACGCTAATTCACGTGCGTTGTGTTTGTCACGGAAGGCTTACGTCGGGTGACGTTGCGGATACGAGCATTCGTACGCGCCAGGTGTGTTTCGGGACCAAAAGCGTGTCTCGTTGCGCAACCGTCGTGCATCCGCCTCGGCAACCAGGGAAGACCACTAGGAACTTTCGACGGCGCCTTTCAGCTCATGTTTTATGGCATGCCGACCGTCTCAAAGCGCCTCGAGTTCGCCCCTCTATCTCTCTGTGATTGCGCTTTGCAATCGTCTTTGCTGGCGCCGGCCGGTTGGCGAGGAACCTGACGTACGGTATGTACGGTGTAACACTGCGTTGGCTGCCAATTTTCAACGGTGGCTCGAAAAAACGCGCGCTCCGTCCTGACGCTCCATTTGAGAGTAGCGGGAAATATGTAGGCCGAAACGCTTGACTGGCTATATCGTGCCTGTCGCAGTGCTGCGAAAGACCCTTGCATAGCTCAGCGGGAGGTTGCTTGTGCGCATGTGGTCTGCACGTGGGATGTTAGTAAAGGCAACAAAACCGCGGTGAAATACTAACAGCGACTGGCGAGGCTCTGATCGCGTGAGCAGTTTTCGCTTTGACTGCAGAACTGTGCTGTTTTTTTGCCCTTGCGCTGGTTTGCGCACCTGCGTTTTAAACCTCTTACCTAGTAGCGAAGCTTGTGTCATACTGACGCTAGTCTAGCACTACTTTAGCTGGCCCTGACGCTTTGTTAAACGTTGTTCAATTGATCACAAACGTCATGACGTCTTGGCATATACTTATCGGGTACCAAGGATGTGTCCATTGATGATGCTTAATTAAACATTTGAGATTAGTGATGCCTTTAATTTAGCATGATTTGTGAATCAGTTACAAATTGTTTAAATTGGAAAGTGCGCTCGTGGGCATTTTGGTTGAATGCAAACTGTCACGCCTGATGCAGCTTCACGAGGTTCGAAGTTGAATTTCGATTGCAGACATCATTCGTTTCTAGATGAATTTGCATGCTATTATCGATCCCATCAAAGCTTCTGTCCCATTTGGGACGTTAAACCCCCATATCAATCAAGCTTCTATCCCAATGTGAATTTATGTATGGACTTTGAGCTAACTTAATTGACCAAGATTTAGCGTGTTTTGCTTGAGATTCACTCAGCTCGTCGATGTAATGACAGCTAATTGAAATGAAGACAAGACTTGAAAAGAAATATAACCGTCCTTCATTTTTTCCATTGATTATGCTTGTCTATAATGTAGCATTTTGGGTGTGTTGGTAGGTAATACTGTAGTTTTGTAGCACTTGAAAAAACACGCAGACAAATGAAGATGGGATGGGTGGTACTTGCAACAATGTTTATTCCAAAAAAAGGCAACCATATATATAGGCAACATTGCCTTTCAATCATAATCACACGCATTTTGCAAATTCACATATCCTTCCGTAGATAGGCCAACTCCTTACATAAAAAGGGCAATTTACAGTTGAGAAACAGTTATCTTCCAGTGTATCAACATTCCAGCCTCGATTATTTTGCGAGTCAGCTGATTTTTGCTCATACCTACAATTGAACACTCATTGAAAATCAGCATGTACACTGCACATGGAACGGACACCGTCACTTGTGTTGTCACTTTAATTGCTACAATGTCTACAGTAGGCATCGAGAAAACCACCCCACTTTTTTTTTTCCTTCACATTGTAGTGGTGTTCTTTAAACGTTCATTTATGCATCGCCCACTTTGACCCTCATAATTCTTGCCACATGTCAATAGAAGCTTGTACACAATGGTGTCATTGCCCTCTATAAACCCATTTTTATGCTTTATTTTGTATGTAATGCTACAGCAGTTGTGGCATTATCACAAGTTCTCGAGTGCTTGTCAAAGTATGCAACTAGCCCAGTCTGACACCCTCCTAAGTCGAGAAAGAAATGTACATTTCAGGGCTTGTTTTTCTTTCATAGACACAACATTAACATATAACAGAGGATACCAGGGAAAGTGTAGGGGATGTTATTGGAGATAATTGCTATGTAAATGTGATGAAGGAAAAGCGGACGAAAGGATACCTTGCCACTGGTGGGCTCCAAACCTGTGACCTTTGAATGACTCGTCGGATGTTCTACCCACTCTGCTGCGGTCACGGGTTGAAATGTCGGCTGTGCCAGCCACATTTCAATGGAGACCTAATGCTCGTGTTGCTTAGGTTTCGGTACACATTAACCTTTTCAGTGCCAAGCCCCAGTCAACATGGACTACATTACTCGCACAAGCCCTGCCGATCCAGAGTACACTCGCTTTGCCCTTTTAAGTCTCTCCCTGCCACTCACTAGATAAACTTTGTAAAAAACATAAATATTTCGGTCAAGTCTCATCATCTATGGAGATACAAATAAACAGATATAAATTGCAGAGAAAATTTTCAGTGGATTGCGCACATTTTTGTACACCTTCGTTGAGTCGCTTCTTTTCGTCAGGGTCTCGCCTTCTGAACAATGGCGCGTTCCATCTGCTCGGTACCCCTTTGCGATCTCCCGTTTGTAAGAGTACCTCACTAGAACAACATTCTGGACGCATTGGCATCCTAACTGGTGTCTAAATAATTTGTTGATTTATGAACTTCTAATTTGGTTTTAATGACTTGAGCTTTTCGTTTGATAACATAATTCTTAATAAGTCATTTCACATGTTCTAAAAAGCATCCTGGTGTATTTGGAACAGAAAATGTTCACACTACATGCAAAAAAAAAAAAGAACTGCACAGAATGTGTCACATTGCCCGAAAAACCTGCCTGTTAAAAGGTCCCCGCAGGAGCGTCTGTGAAAACAGGCGTTTGGTGTGTAGTGACACTACGAACCCGAGATAACGGCAGGTTTTGATCTCCTCCCACACCAGGCCGTGTGTGGCTGAGCCGTGTCCGGGGAAAACGGGATTTTGGGGTTTGAGCCAACGCTGGGTGATTGGACTTTTGAGGCCCCCGGCAGAGGCAACACACCTTTTTGGCACCGGCTTCACCTAGACGGCACCCCTGAGCTGACCCAACCAGGGGAAAGCGGCAGTTGCCTTTTCTTGTCTCTCTCTCTCTCTCCCTACATCTTCGTCTTTATCTCTCACTTTTTATCTGTCCTGTCTTCTAGTCTCTTCTGTTGCAGTCGCCCTTTCTTATCTCTCTCTCCCTACATCTTTGTCTTTATCTCTCACTTTTTATCTGTCCTGTCTTCTAGTCTCTTCCCTTTACTTTCAAACTTCCTGGCGGCTAGGGTTAACCCTGTGAAAATAGCCTACCTTGGTCTAGGCGCATTGGGTTATAGTTGCGTTGTATGGCTGGCGTCTGCAGGTTTCAGCATCCGCAAACTTATAGCGTCCCCTCGTTGGGCTCTGTGGTAGGTGGCCACCAACGGTTCTGAAGAAAATGAAACGGGCATGCATAGAGCTTTTCCTCTGTTAAGTGATCGTACCGCCTTAAAGCGCGTGCGCACCGTAGACTTTGGTTTTTTCAATCGTTCAAATGAAAACATCCCCCATTTTCACATCATCCATAGTGTGAAAAGTGGCAAGCAAGCCAGAGCTGTATCCACCTTTGTAGTAGCCAGGTGTCTTACAGAAACTCTTGGGGCAGGGTACAATGTTACCAAAATGGCCAGCGGAGACCTCCTCCTCAAAGTTCGAGAGAAAAGAAGAGTTTGAGAAACTACACAATCTTTCAACTTTTGGCGACACTCCGATCACTGTAACACCACACAGATCAGTGAACACAACTCGTGGAGTAGTATCTGATGCCGATTTGCTTGGCCTGACCAAAGCAGAACTTCTGGAGGGGTGGAGGAGTCAGAATGTGACTAATGTACAAAGGATCATCATCAGAAGAGACAACAAGGAAACACCAACAAAACACCTAATACTAATGTTTGCTTCCAGTAAACTGCCAGAATCCATTCAAACAGGGTACACAAAGACCTTTCTCAGGCCGTACACACCAAACCCTCGTTGCTGCTTCCAATGCCAAAGGCATGGCCACTGGATGATAAAGCGCACGGTACGGCCTGCCGCGTGGAGCGGCTTTCTATGGGAGAGCGCGTGTCAGTCGTAGGGTCACTTGCAGCCGCTGCAGCGCGACGGGGCATGGACGGGAGGGACGGGGAAACGAGTTGTGGCGGCTTCCTCGGGGCCGCAGCCACAGCACATTAGCTGGTGTTTGTCACAACAGTGACCCACTCAGTTGTACTAATCAGTATTTTTTGATTTAATCTCATTTATCACAGCGATGACATGTCGCATATTTAGTAGACTACGAGGCACTGTCTAGTTAAAAAGCCAATTGATTTTTTCTGTGCGTGCCGAGCACTTGGCTTTTTTTTTTTTTTTCAGGACCAGCTTCTTGCGCTCAGGCTGACAGAAAAATGCACAATTAATCTAGCTGAATGATATGGCACTGAATGCGTGACAAAGTCATTGTTCTATTTGTTAAGATGTCTTAAACTAACATATTTTGATAATTGTGACGTTTAATCAGCATTTCTGCGTTTTCTCTGCCGGAATGCTTGACAAATCATTTTTGGGCACTTTACAATAGACGTTCACAGTTTTTATATTCTGAAAGCGTATCAAAGAAACATAATTTCAATATTTTTCATGTTACCTGGTACACGGTAGTATATGTAAATATATATATATATATATATATATATATATATATATATATATATATATATATATATATATATATATATATATATATATATATATATATATAACCATCCGTTCGGTCTTTTCCAGGCACTGG